TTTCTGAGTTGTATTCCATTGAACCTGAAATATTAGTGATTTTAATGTTCAGTGACTCCAGTAAAGAGCACTATTGCCCATTGATCATAGAGTAAAATAATGTATATGAAAGTATGAAAAATTCATTGCATTATCATCAATCCAGTGCTGTTTGTTATAAAGCTCTTTTTCCAGATAAAATGAAGAATTATTCTTAAAGATGAAACTTGAATCCCCAACTACCTTACACTGTCAAATCAACCTTATTTTCTCTGATAGAGACCACTCATTGCAAGCTAATGGAGTTACACAAGTGGTACTGAGGGCCTCGTTTGCTCAGCAGAACCTGTGTTGCTAGAGATGATGTGTGAGATAGAGGTAGCTCAGCTTGACTTTGAGAACACCAGATGAGTTCAGTGGGGAAAAATCTTCCAGCCAGCCTAGATTGTTTCCTTTATGTCCAGTGATGTTTAGTTACTTGTGGAAATAGTAAAGCCAACGTACAAAGTTTAAGCAAGATTGACCCTAATTACTACAGATGGCAGGTGACCTAAGTCAGAGGGAAAATTCCTATAGTTTTAAAACAAAACAAAAATACAACTTTTCTTATTTTGTTAAAACCTCCACCTCCTCTAGCATAGGTTCTGTTTTTTTGTTTTGTTTTCTTCTGAGGGTACATCTACACAAGGAGAAAAACCCACAGCTGGTCCAGGTCAGCTGACTCGGGCTCACAGGCTTAGGGCTCTGGTCTGAAAAATTGCTGTGTAGATGTTCAGGCTTGGGCTGGAGCCCCTGCTCCGGAACTCTGCAAAAGGGAAGGGTCCAATCCAAGCCTGAGTGTCTACTTAGCAATTTTTCAGCTCGGAGCGCAAGCCCAAGTCAGCTGATTTGGGCCAAGTGCAACTGTTTTATCCCTGTGTAGATGTAAGCTAAATGTCCCTGTTGATTGCCTTTGAAATGCAGACATCTGTCAGAGCTGCCAAACAGTACCCAGATGTTTGAGGTTGATGCCCAGAGCTGTAAAGACATCTAGATTTTATTTACCCCAATGTACTTTCTCCTCACTTTGTCCTCTCCCAATCCTTACCTCACCCCTCCTTGCTCTCACTGGTGTGGGAGCGTGGCACTTTGGCAAATTGCCAATCTGGTCTGTTTTCTGGGTCAGTTCAACCATCCAAACTCCCCACTCTGCTGGCTCACATAGCTAGGGAATAGAGCTGAGCACCAGTCAGAAGAGAGCTTGTGTTATAAAGAGCAAGCAATACTCCCCTGATAAGCACTTCACCTTCCCACTCAGACCGCCAAGTGAGTGAGTGAAGGTGAGGAATGGACTGTCAGAGAATAGTCTCCCCAAGTGAAGTGAGGGGGAACAAAAGAAAAGCCTTATTATTTGTATTATAGCTTCCAGGGGCTCTAGTCATAGACCATTGTGTTAAGCACTGTACAAACCAGAACAAAAATACAATCCTTGCCCCAAAGAGCTTGCAGTCTGAGTGTAAGACAAGAGGCAACAGATGGAGACAGACAGGAGTCTACAAAAAAACAATGAGACAGTACAGGCTAGCATGATATGGTTGTGGCATCAGCTTAATGGTAAGGGAAAGTTTGAAGGAGGATAATGTGGTAGTTTTCAGATGTTTGCAGAGAGCTGCTCCCAAGCATGACGAGCAAGGAGGAGCCTGTAGTAGAGGGATGCAAAGAGAGGGGTCATGTGATTAAAGTTATGGGCTAGGAGAATAATCTTTGCCTGATTGAAGCTGGAGCAGCCTGTCTTGTCAGTACTTCCCTTATTATGAATATGAGATGCTGCTGCTTGTTTCTCTGACTACCCAGCTGGTGGTGCTGTTGTCAAATGGCTTGATGTTTTGTAGTTTTCAAGCAAAAATCATGTGTAAATGAAGTCAGCAGACTAGAGGTGAGGACTAAATCTTGCTCTAACGTATTTCACCAAAAATAACCTGTATGGAACATGGCTGTATGCTCCCTGGCTGTTGGGTGTGGGTGTGTGTGAGGTGAGGGGCTGGGGATAGCTCTTGTGAAAGGTGCTACTGCACAGTCAGGAAATGTTTCCTTTATTAGGCTTTGTTCTTGTTAGCAAAATATAAATTATGAGAATGAAAAAAAATCTGAAGGTGCTACCCTTTCACCTCTGCTCCCTCCACCACTCCACCCCTTTTGTTTGCTTGTTACTTGATTTTCTGCTTATGAAAGCCATGAGCAAGAAGTTTTTTGTAAAAACAGCAGAAGAGTTCAGCTGTGACCACAAAAGGCTTAGAGCCTGTTTCTCGGAAGTGCTGACTAGTCAACACTGAAAATGAAGTCAGTAGGAGCTGTGGGTGTTCAGCCACTTTGAGGATCAGGCCCCTCGTAATTGGAATAGTCTTTACTGACTAGGCTGGCTTTGGTGGGGTTTTATTGGTTTTGAACAACAGTGATGAATAGTTCTTGTGGATTTTTTTTTTCATTTTTAAACAGCAAAAATTTTGAGAATCAAATGGCTGAATTGATGTCTATTACAACTCCTGATTAGAGAGACAAGGTGAGTGAAGCTGTATCTTTTATTGGACCAACTTCTGTCGTCGAGAGACAAGCTTTCGAGCCAGAGAGCTCTTCTTCAGGTCTGGGAAAGCTACTCTGAGCATCACAGCTAAATGCAAGATGGAACAGATAGTTTAGCATAAGTAGTTAATACATATTCTAAGGGACCATTCAATATAACTATGCTAGACATTAAAAATAATGGACTGAACAGACACACTGTATTTATGGTTTATTAGAACAATCTGTAACCCGCTAACCCGATCTTTTTGTCCTGTGACTGCAGAGGTGTTAACAGGCCACTCTACCTTGAATGATCCCTTAGAATATGTACTATCTACTCATGCTAGACAATCTGTTCTATTTTTTGTTTAGTTCTGATGCTCTGAGTACCTTTCCCAGACCTCAAGAAGAGCTCTGTTTGGCTCGAAAGCTTGTCTCTCTCACCAACAGAAGTTGGTCTCATAAAATATATTACCTCATCCACCTTGTCTCTCTAATATCGTTGGACTGACATGGCTACAACTACACTGCATACAACAACTCGTGACTGTCATTTGAAACTGATAATGAAAATATTGTATATTCTGAGTTCAATAAAAACATATGAAACATAATAGGTAACAGGTTTAAAACAAAAGGAAGTATTTCTTCACACAATGCACAGTCAGCCTGTGGAACTCCTTCCCAGAGAATGTTGTGAAGGCCAAGACTATAACAGGGTTCAAAAAAGAACTAGATAAATTCATGAAGGATCGGTCCTTCAATGGCTATTAGCCAGGATGGGCAGGGATGGTGTCCCTCACCTCTGTTTGCCAGAAACTGGGATTGGACAACAGGAGATGGATCACTTGATAATTACCTGTTCTGTTCATTCCCTCTGGGGCACCTGGCACTGGCTGCTGTCGGAAGACAGGATACTGGGCTAGATGGACCTTTGGTCTGACCCAGTATGGCCGTTCTTATATTCTTATAAAATTTACATAACCATTTAAGCAGTACTTTACTCTGAAAAGGAGAGATTTTTACTATCAATTAATTGTGCTTTTAGAGTGAGAGAACTTTTTCAGAGGAATACTGTCCAAACCCAAGTGTGTCCTAAGGAGACATGCCAGGCCTTGCTAAGAAACTACAGTATTTAGTGCAAGTTAGAGGCCTCTTCATGTTATAATTTTCTGCTGTGTTGGGTACTGAACCAAACAGGATTTTTCTTGTCAGAACACCAGGTATTTATCTTTACATTTAAAAGCAGCACAGCACCATTTTTCTCTAGTGAGCTTTGAATATTTTTTGAGTCAATTTAATTATTCAGTTGTTTGTTTAATAGTGGGATAACTTCAATAGGGGAGACCCATATTAGAATATCCCACAGCTTAGTGTACTCATCTGACCGATACCAGAGCCCTGTTGTAATCCCTTCTTCCCTTTGGTGGAACTTGAACCAAAGGTCTCCTACATCCTGGGTTAGTACCCTATCCACTATGCTAAAGATTATAAGGGAGGTCCTCTTCCCCCTACCACTTCACAAGCTGTTTTGTGTGAACTTGTCTGAGGGGCCTGATCCAGTAGGCCAGCTCATTGGCCCCTAGCAGGTGAATTAGGCAGCTGATTGCTGTTCTAGGGCTCAGGCAGGAGATAAGTGCCCGGGCACATAGAGTGAGGCTGCAGTAGGCGTGTCCAGAGGCAAAAACTTAGACACCAAGTGAGGTTAGACACCTACAGGGTTAGGTGGCGGCCGAGAGAGTTTTGTGGATTGCAGTGGCACCTAAGCACCTTCATGGATTGCACCCTCACATTAAGATGTTGCAAAATCGGTACCTAAAGTTAGAAATCTAAACTCCTACCTAGGCTCCTATTTAAGTGTCCCAATTTTTAAAAGTGCTGAGCACCTAGCAGCTCCCATTCACTTCAAGTGAAGGGCTTTTTAAGGAGAACAAGCCCATCTCCGCTGACTTATAAGCAATTAACTGCCAGCCAGCCAGCCAGTCCACCTAGGCAGTAATTGAGAAACAAGCACCTAGGCCTGGTAAAAGGTTACCAGGGCTCAGTTGGAGGGAGGTGATCCTGGAGAAGAGTTTCGTGAGACTAGCAGGGTAGAGTTAAACTCTTCTAGCTTACTAGTGGAAAAAGTGAGTAAAAAGGGACCAAAGGGGAAAAGCTGACTGAAGGCTACAGCTGGGAGAAGAACTGGGAAATCCCGTCCTCAGGAGAGGATGCTTGCTGGGTTTAGCCTCAGAGCTTAGAAGAAGGGTTAGATTTGAAGGGCCTATGAAGAGGGGTTTTGTACTGTGTGAAGAAAATTAATAAATGAGACTTCACAAAGGGAGTCTTTTGTTTTCAGTTCCTGGGTCTGGAAATCCTTACATGACAGAAAGAGCGTAGTAGGCCTGCAAGGACTTGTCCATTCAGAGGGTCGATGGAAACATTTTATGAGATGTGTTCTGGTCCCAAAAAACCTAAATAAATCAAAGAGACAAGGTGTGTGAGGTAATATATTTTATTTGATCAACTTCTTTTGGTGAGAGAGACAAGCTTTTGAGCTATACGGAGCTTTTCTTTAACTCTGGGAAAGGTACTCCAAGTCAAAACATGTCGGTTTGGTGTCTTTGATTTGAAATAACTTTTCATTTAAAAATGTCCTTCCATATTATTGTACAAAGTTAAATACTTGAAACCAAAACAAAACCCTTCATTTTGAATTGAATGAAAGGTTTAGTTTGACCCCCCCCAAAATGATTTATTTTTTTAAATTTCCAGTTTGCCAGAAATCTCAACAAATTTTTGTTTTCAGGTTGATCTGAAAATATTTTTATTTTTTTTTTCTGGTTACAGATTTAGGCACTTGTTTTGGAAAATCTTGGCCTTAACCTGCCTCAGTTTTTTCATCAGGATAATAATATTTATGAATTTAATAGGAATGGTTGCGTGGATTGTAAGTTGATGTTTGTAAATGCTTTGAAGAAGAAACTTGCTCTATTCTATTAATACATGGTCATCATTGAAAATCGGTAGAGAAATTATTTGCAAGATTTTAATGAAATGTCAAGGTACATTTACACTAACATGGGGAAACTGACAGCTGTTGTGGCTTCATTTTGGTATCCAAGTCATACTGACCAGCTAAAGGAAAGTATTACAAGAAAAGGCAAAACAGTCTTCATTTTCTTATTGCTGTGAAAACTGTGTTATACTATGTTCATGTCGATGGCTGTGGGGACAGGAGCTTTAGGATGGTTCAAGACTTTGAGAAGGTTTTTCCAACAAGCAGGTGACTCCATTTTTCCTGTAGAACTCAGCCTGCACACGGTTAATCCTTGCATAATCTCTGATCGACTGCTCTATGGGCTGGTTTATGTGTCTCCCATATTCTGAAGAGGACAAAACAGCAATGGGTCTTGCCAGTTCCTGTAAGAACATTATTTAGATTTTATATTCCTTAACGTATAAACACACATGCAAAACAGTAGAGGAGCCACTGCTATGACAAATATAGATTGCTAAATCTGGTGTAGCAGCTGGTGACAAGTGGGCCTTCTGCCTAGACAGAACTGTATAATGTGTGTTAGAGCAAGGCACATTTGTTTAGCAGAAAGACAATTACAGTGGGGTTTGGATTATTACTTTATTGTCCAAAATTCCTGACTGACCTTTAACAGTAGTGAAAAAACATGAATGCATCACTGAGACAGCAAGATATGGAGATATGCTATGAATTACTATATACTGATTACATGTACATACCCATATATATATATCCACACCCTAACCATGTGGAGGTGATTTCCATGGCAGTAATTGCAGACCATGTAATAAATTAATTTAGTATGCTTTTTTGGGTCAGTAGAGAGGTTTTATTAGCACACATTTGGGATGACCTGTACAATGCACGTGTGGCTGTGATGCTTGTAATGTTCCCAACCAGTTTTCATGCTCTGCTACCTCATTATACCTTCATGTATTCTGCCCACATAACTTACTGCAAAAAAAGAGTGAGGAACCCCTGTCCCGGGCGTTAGAGCACTCACCTGAGAGGTAGCAGATCCATGTTTAAATCCCTACTCTTCAAGTGGAGGTGGGACAGGTTGCCCACATCCCAGTGAGTACCCTGTCTGCTAGGCTAGAGGTTATGAGTACCTCCTGTTCCCCAGCTGTGTTGTTTCAGGCCCCACAAAAAAATTATTATTATTATATCTCTCCTAGAACTGGAAGGGACCTTGAAAGGTCATCGAGTCCAGCCCCCTGCCTTCACTAGCAGGATCAAATACTGATTTTGCCCCGGATCCCTAAATGGCCACCTCAAGGATTGAACTCCCAACCCTGGGTTTAGCAGGCTAATGCTCAAACCACTGAGCTATCCCTCCCCCCATGGAGCTAAGTGCCTATCTGCCCCCTGTTCATAGATTTCTAGCAGAGCAAGGCACCCCTGTGCAGCCAGGACTTAGGCACCTATCTCAGAGAGGGGCAGGGCTTAGCATGCCCCCTCTCTGGTTGGTTTCTCCCATTGGCTCATGTAGGTGGCTCCCTGCCTATTGTGCTGGCTTTGTGTAGCACAGGCTAAGGTGTCCATTATGACAGTTCTTAGGGTACCCAAGACAGTTAACTTGTTATCTCCTGCCTCTGGTGTGAGGGAGTCTTGCTTCTGGTAACTGGGTGTTAGCTCCCTAGCACCATCAGCCTTTCAGCCATTCAAGCACTCTCCTCTAGGCTATGCCAGCCCTGTCTTTGTCTTGCAGGTTAACAAGAGGTGCACCCCAACCCCTAAGTCACTCTGAATTGTTCACCTGTGATATCCAGCCCCTGGTACTGGCTACTCACAGAAATTCCAGATTCTCTGCACCCAAAGGTGCAGTGTATCCCAATTTATCAGTTTCACCTGGGGTGCTGGAATTAAGGGTACTGGGAGTGCAGCAGCACCTCCTGGCTTGAAGTGGTTTCCATCAGATACAGGGCTTACAGTTTTGTTCAATGGCTTTCAGCACCCCCACTATACAAATTATTCCAACACCACTGGTTTCGTATTAAACCACTGCTCCTCTAAACCACACAGTGCTTGTAGTATGAAGCTTGACAGGTTACAAGCTTTCTGTAGATATCCTAAGTTACTCTTTATAGATAAATGTCCTGGAAGACACATTTGGTGTAGTGAGTTTGTCAGATCTGAGAAAAGTCTGCTTTGCAAAGAACAGTGGGCCCCATTGTCAAAGGGTCTCTGTCACATCTGTCTCTCCACATTAGGCACCTAACTCCATTGTTGTCAATATGAATGAAGCCACTTTAATGTCCGCATATAAACCTTACCTCATCATTAATGTTAAGACCTCGACTATTTGCATGTTCTCTGTCACATCGGTGGAGTTTTTCATTGTAAACCACTGGCCTCTTAAAAATGGAGTCATATGTGGAAACAATCCCTGTCTTGGGATAAAGAAAAAAATATGATTAACTTACAGTGGTGTTTAACACTGTGAGTTAGAAAATAATGTGGTAGAACTACTAACTGGTGCACGTGCAGCACTAGAGGCTGTGAAGAACATCCGTTATTAGTAACATTTGGGGCATCCCTTTGAAATAGTCTGAAAAATTGTTACAATTCTTTTGTGCATTTGGCTTGTCTGTGAAAATGTGAAACTAAAACAACTTCTACATTATATGTAAAGACATTGCCAGAGGATTTTTCAGAGAATTTCATATCACTGTTTTCCCCCTTTGTAATTTATAGTAACCACATGGAAGCTTAAATTGGTTTTCTTATTGAACTATTTTCCTTCAGCAAATGCATACACTTGATTAAAGAGACATTCTGATTGAAGAAAATGAAGAGAGAAAGGCAGCTTTGAAGTTCATTTTGAAAGAAATAGATATTGGAAGTAGCCTGTGAATCAGCCTTTATCTTCAAGTTAATGCATAAACACACAGTCGCCACCTCTCCAAAAAACATAAAAATGATTGTACTTAAAACATCTTTTCATATGAAAATCTCAGAGCACTATTTAATTAGTGTCTCCAGTGAATCCCAGTCTTGCATTTCCTGATGTACCAAAGACTCCCACTGATTGCAACACCGGTTCTCTATATACAAGAAATGAAGGCTTGACTGCTTGAAGTCCCAAAGTGCTAGGTAATGCACAATTAGCTACACACACTAGAGATTTATTGTGGTTTACAAATACTGAACTATGTATGTTTCAGAAAAAAATATTTGAGAGACGAGAGGAAAAGACCTTTTGCAATATACTAATAATTACTTATGAAAATCATCAAAGGCTCAGCACTTTGACCGGAGAAGATTTCAACCTATCACCCTGCTCTTGTGACACATGATCTAAAAATCTGAAAAAGTGAAACTTAAAAAACTTCAATCTTCATTTTTGGCTCAGCAATGATGTAGTTGTAATTAGGCTTGGAAGGATTAGATTTTTATAGGTAAATGTCAGTAAACATCAATTTCACACATACAAGCTGACTAAATAAATTCCATCAATAATAATTGAAAATTACAGATTGGCAAAGTAAGAAAAGTGCTGCTTGAGAACTTTAGAGTTTGACTTAAGGATATTTACTTTGTATATTTTCATGTGTGGTGTTGACAATTTGTGGGTTTAATGGCTATAAAGCTTTAACTTTTTGAATATCAATGTCAGTCATTAAATAATGGGCTGACACCCTCCCCTCTAGTTTCCCACAAGTGTGAACATTTACATCAATAAATATAAAAAATGCTTAAAGCCCATAATTTTGTGCAAATGTGAAAATGTAAATAGATTTTAAAAAAATAAACATCTATTATCTATTAAACAAAATTCTGCCAGGCCTCATGGTACTTTAGAAAACTGAAGCATGTTCTGATTTTTATATATATTTTTTCTATTTTATAACTATTTATCTCTAAAAATATTAAAGTCAGAACAGTACTAGATGGTTATAATGGTCCCATTGAAAGGAAACTTTTGGCACTGCCTTAACTATGGTGTTATTAGTGCACCCCTATAATAATAGGGTTACTCAATAAGGGAAATACACTAGTTGGTGTTCAAGAGGAGGGGCTGTTTTGTTTTTTAATCTATTCTCCCTTTCACTTCTCAGAGGCGATGAGACTTGCAGAATTCTAGGTGGTGATTTGTCCTCTCCATTATTGTACTTCACTATAGCTTTTCCTTTGCTCTCCATATTTTATTTAGAAGCCAAGTAAAGATCTACCTCCTGCTGGTTAAAAAGAACTACTGCATTATTCACTGACTCACTATATCAATGAAGAAAATTCAGCCTTTCTCGGACTTGAAGGTAGACAGACAGCCTATTATGTTTAACTGTAATTCTGTCCTAGATAATCTGTGTTGAGCAGTTCTGCCAGAATTATCCCACCTAATTGTGCAGTGTCTGGCTTGTTATTTTGTCTCCAGATACTTTACTGGTATTAATGGTAGTCATTTCCATCAGTTGCTAAATGCTAGGGTAGTAGGCCTGTATTTTTAATAACCAGTCAGAATGAATGAATCATGTAAAATGGACAAGCAATCCATGTCTCAGGTGAGCATTTCCTATGATCTGGCTTAATAAAATCAAGCACTTGTAAATCACTTTGCAAACATTAATTAAAGTCCACAGCATGCCTATCGAAGAGGCGTGGATGGGGAAATGAAACACACACTGTTTACATGAATTTGCCCAAAACCAGAAAGGGAGTCATTGTCAAAAATGGGATTAAAATTAAGGATTTCCTGTCTTCCAGTCGTTATCAGGCCACTTGCCCATGCTTCTGTCTACCTCAATCTCTGAATTACATTTGTCCACATATCTATTCAGGGGATACCATCATAGGACCTAATCACATCAGCCACACTATCAGAGGCTCGTTCACCTGCACATCTACCAATGTGATATATGCCATCATGTGCCAGCAATGCCCCTCTGCCGTGTACATTGGCCAAACCGGACAGTCTCTACGTAAAAGAATAAATGGACACAAATCAGACGTCAAGAATTATAACATTCAAAAACCAGTCGGAGAACACTTCAATCTCCCTGGCCACTCGATTACAGACCTAAAAGTCGCAATATTACAACAAAAAAACTTCAAAAACAGACTCCAAG